CGTTCAGGAAGCTGTTCAAGAGATCGGCCATACCGGCTTTGATTGTGTCCAATGCCATTCAGATGTTCCAGCAGTTCACGGGGATTAATGCCATCATGTTTTACGCGCCTGTTCTGTTCCAGACGTTGGGGTTCGGGGCAGACGCTTCGTTGCTGTCGTCTGTTATCACGGGTTTGGTTAATGTCTTCTCGACTTTTGTGTCGGTTTTCGCTGTGGATAAGGTTGGGAGGAGAAAGTTGCTTCTCCAGGCTTGTGTCCAGATGTTCATTTCCCAGGTACATTCATCTTCTTTTCTTTCCTCTCTTGTTCTCGTTTTTTATTGTAAGAAACAGAGGGGAAAGGGTGGGGTCCCACGTAGGTGAATCACACTATAAGAGGGTGAATTTAGGTGCTTCTTGGTGAAGTTTCTCCCAAAATCAATTGGTGATGGAAAGAGTATTCCATATAAGCTGGGTTCATTTTCCATGTATGGGATAAATCACAAGTGATATTTTAACAAAAACAAATCAGATTTTACAAAATACCTATATTTTTTATTATTTTTTTAGGTTGCGATTGGTGGGATCCTTCTAGTCCACCTGAAGCCGACTGGGTCACTAGACAAATTCTTGGCGGGCGTGGTGGTGGTCCTCGTTTGCACGTACGTGATGTCGTTTGCGTGGTCGTGGGGTCCAATGGGATGGCTCATCCCGAGCGAGATCTACCCAATCGAGACCCGCACGGCAGGGTTTGCGGTGGCCGTGAGCTCCAACATGATCTTCACATTCATAATCGCGCAGGCATTCCTGTCGATGTTGTGCCACATGAAGGCCTACATCTTCTTCTTCTTTGCGGCGTGGATTGTGGTCATGGGCCTGTTTGTGCTGTTCTTACTGCCCGAGACAAAAGGCGTCCCGATCGAGCTCGTTGAGGAGAGGCTCTGGAAAAAGCACCCCGTCTGGAAGAGGTTCTTCAGGGACGAGGCAAAAGGGGAAGGCAGAGCATGATGACGACGAAGAAAATGAGCACATGACTAAATTATATATACATGCATGCTCATTTTGTATTCTTCAGTTTATTTGATATTGAGCACATTCCTCTTTTACTTCACCAACTTGTTAAGACTTTTAATATACCAAAATGCAAATCATGAAAATCATTGAAATAAATATAATATATAATTCTTAAAAAGGGTGGTTTTGTGTTACTGTAATTATACCATTGAATAATTTGTTTAACTTTTGTGGTTATGGATGAGAATCGATATATGCAGATATCAGCTCAAGATGATGTTGAAATCGATATGAAATTTGTTCATCTCCTCATCACCTTTTATTTGAACTATGTAGTCTATACGGTGCCTTTACGGTACCATTCCCCTATTTTACACTATACCAGTAGATATCTTTGAATCTATATATCTATAATTACTAGCAAGTAAACTGGCATCTATTACTTGGGATGGACTTGAAAACTGCACCTCAAACTTCAAACACTGGTGGATTAAGCTGAGCTTCTTGAAACAGAATACTATGACAGATAGCAGACTCCAACTCACCATCTACCTGCTTTGGTGGATTTGGAAGGCTCGCAACCTGTAGGTATTCCAAAACTACTGGCTCCCTGAATGCACTATAGCACAATCTGCATCCTCAGCTTGGCTTGAATTTGTTAATGTGCATCACATGTGACTGTTTTTTTTGCTCTCCCGTCTTGCTTTTGTTGTTTCTGTTTTTTCTTAGCCTAGTTGTTGCTTTGGTTTTTCCTTCTTTGGTTTGGTAGTGGTAAACTTGCTAGGTCCTTCGGTTCACTGGCAAGTTTATCTTTTGTTGATGCTTTCCTAGTACTAGCATACCCATTTCAATATCCTATCTTGGTCTTCATAGCTTCAGACTATGCCAAGAATAGATTCTTGAAATGGCTTTTATTTCGGTTTGTCTAGGCCGCCATTGTTGGTGTTCCTCCTATTCTACTATTTTATAGCTGAACTTGTAAATGTTGTACTTTCTCTTTGGTGCTATAAAATCTATCGATGTGAAAAAAAAAAAAAAAAAAAAAAACTAATAATTTTTACCTATGTGGCAAATCATTAAACAAAATCAAATAAATTTTACCTATATCCCATTAATGATAAAATATCTCATTAAGTTATTTTTGGATTAATTAAGACAATATTATATTTTTTTGAATCAAATAATACTTATTATTAAAATTGGTAATTATATTTACACTAAATGATATATGAAAGTTACATAAACATAAAAGACTATATTGCAAATACTTTTTGTTTAAACTATATATTTTTTTAAAATCAATATTATATTTTTTTATCTGATTAATTGATTTCTTTAATAATTTTCTTTTAATATCAAAATTTCTTTAAATCGCATAAACAATAGTTATAATAAATTTGGTACTTTTCAACTAATTAATTGGTCATGATATCTCAAAATTACAATAATTACATTATTTATTACATTTGTGCAATCAATATAGTGATTCGCATGTAATGAAACCGTTACGTGCTGTTTATTTGAACAAATGATCAAATTTTAAAACATAATACTATGATCTAACTTATATTTTTAATATTATATGTAAAAATGTAACTTATTATACTCTATGGTTAAAATTTAATACTATTATGTAACATATAATTTTAATATTATATGCATACAAATAAATTATAATACCCCCTATATAATTCCCGAATGCGCTGAGTCTAGGTGGCTGCTTCTGGTGCTTCGGAATCCTACATGACAAAGAATTATGCTTCGTAATTAGGTTTGGACAAATAATATTGATATATTAGTAATTAATAATCTAGGTTCGGACATTCCATAAATATTATATAGTTAAATTAGTTATTTTAATATCACTTTTACGAATATAACCCTTTAATTTTTTGTAATTTTACATAGTGAGACACTAAGCGACTAATATATCCCTAACTTTTGATTTGCTTTCACAATTAGCTATTGA